AAAAACTGATTGGGAGTTGTAGATATTCCTCAAACTAGAAATTCAAAATTTGAAGAAAAAGAACAATTTTAAAACACTATATTAACTCACATCATATATCCATTCAACAACCTGTTGCCGATGATGCGCTGTTACATCCATTTGAACACTTAGAAAACAATTTCCATGCATCGGTTTCATACTTTGTGCCTTGAACATACTCTCTAAGCAACGATCATCCTGTAAATCGATTACCATAATTTTCCCGAGACTTTCTCGAAATTAATTACTCCAATACATTACTGTCTTTTAAAATCAGTAAATTTCAATAATACTATGGAATCATCTTTAAAGCGTACGCAATGAACAGTTTTATCCGCTAGAGGAAGAACACTTGGCCACTGAGCGACATTCAAACGATCCGTTGTTGACCTCTTCCTATTCACTGGTATCTGCAACAAAATAGGGTTGAAAAAAAAATTTTTTTAAAATAAATTTATATAAACGAGCGTCTTCGATCAAATTTGTTGGATGACCTGTTGATATGCAAATTTTCATTTGCTTGTAGCAATTTATTCATTTTCGGGTCATCACTTGCATCGATTAATCCATTATATATTTACTTGATACTCAACTAAACCAACCGCTGTTTAAACATAAGCCAAAAATGATAAGAATAAAGAGAGACCATATTATTATCAAATTGTTGGGAATAATTTGAATAAATTTGATGATTCTCAAATGTGAACAAATTTGCAAACCTGCCCAAGAAGCAATTTCATAACATCATTCGGTGATGACTGCCGAAGACCTATATCACTTTTGGTTGCACGACGACGAAATTGTGATTGTTGTTGTTGTTGTTGCTGTTGTCGTGATGATGGTGCAGAAGTTGATGCGGAGTTGATGCTTCGTGTTGTTGGTGGTGCAGAAGCAGTTGATGCTGTTGCCGTTGCGGTAGTTCCCCCAAATCTTGCTGGTGCCGAAGATGTTGATGGTGATTCGGTGAGAAATTCGGTACACCGAAAATTTTCCATTGGCTAATATCTGATTGAGAGTAGCAAAAAATATCTCAGGGGTAACCAAAAGTACAGAAGCTTGCTGAACAGCTAACAATTTCTGGAGTTGTAACGATCACTAGTAGAGTAGTAGGAGAGGATATCAAATGGACGTATGTGTGGAAGTCGACGCACTTGCGCCCGCGTATTGCGCACACGCGCTTAGGCGCCAACTACCACACACCACACTTATTTGCTTGGCAATTTTCGTCAGCGGTATATTTTGTTGTATGATGATGATAACTGCGGAAATTTGAAATTCAGGATGTTGTGCCACTGAAAGTTCGGAAGAATTGGTATATTCCCGGATTAGACGATAATTGAAGTTACATACCCAATCAAAGCTGAATGTAGCGTTACTACGTAGTCGGGGAATCATCGTCATTCCGTATAATACAACTAGCATGTTATAAAATGATATTCTGATATGATATCCGACAATAAGACAACGTAAAAAAATACTGAATATTTTACTTATCATTATGTTACGAAGGAAACGAACTGATAAGAGCATAAGAAAACATTCAATTTCTGCTCCAAAATTCCCACTTCATAATATCTTATCAAATATTAGTTAATTTTGATTTTTTTAGGGAACTAATTACAGTATTCTAATTGTACACTTTACAATGACACGGAGCAGCACTTTATATTCATCCGAAGGATTGAAAAGAAATAATTAACTTATACTGATAGTGCTTGTAAGTATTTAGCAAATACAATTATGAGATCTAATGCTTGCATTGACTAAGTAATACAGATCTGTGCGTATGGAAAGTAGAGATGTATAAATGGATAAATAAACAAATAGTAATAACTAAAATTTAAATTTAAAAATTATTAAGGTTTATCATAAAAGATATGAAGATATAATACGGAAAGCAGAGTGATGCTTCAAAAGCGTTAGAAGACGAAAAAAGTGAAGCTTTAAATTTCATAGAAAATAATCATGTATAGGATTTATTCTTATTCGTTTAAAAACGTGAGAATGAAAATTTTAGGGTTCAAACAAAAAAATGATCAAAATTTTGAATTTGAAATCTTATAATTCTGGAATTTTCGTTAAAATTTTACGAAGCATAATATTACAAATTCAATTCCACAAAAAGAAGTAAAAGCCTAAATTTCAGATAAATAACAAACATACCTTCATATTCTATTCTATTAACCTCCGTTCCAGTAAACCCGACTATTCAGAATGAGAAAGACGCTTTTTACTTGTCCAACCGATGATCTTGCAATGCTCGACTACAAGGAATTATTAAGACGTGTTGATACAATAATGCCCTATGACCCGAACGAACTATGAATGTTATCGATGTATGCTATTAGCAAACATGTGAATGCATGTTGCAATGTGTAACATGCAATGATGCAAATAGCATTGCGAAAGAAAAGGATAAGCAGGAGACTAAAGAGAGAGAAACAGAGCATGGGAGAGAAAAAAACAAAAATGCTGAAATTTTACAAATTATATTCTTAAAAATTTCATGAAGTTTTTCAGACATATAAGCAACTCTTCAATTCTAACCGATAAATTAAACTGTTCTAATTTAAAGCTTTATTATCACGCATATAATAATTATAAGAAAAAAATTGAATAATAATAAAAAGTGAAAAACGATGAACAGGGTTAAAAATTGCAAATTATAAATGATGGAAAAAAATTCAATTTATAAATAAAAAGTTCTTACTAAATAGATTTAAAAAAACAATTTAATCGACTGATCGACTAATAATAAATCTATTTTTGAAAATTATATTGAAAAGAGAATTACTCCTTATTAATTATATTTTTTTATCATTTTGAATTATATTAACAATTACTGAAAAAATTTTCGCTGTTAAATTGATAAGCAACAAACATGATTGCTCATTCATTTAAAGAAAAAAGAATCCTACCAAGGTAAGAAGGAAAGAAATGAGAGGAATACTTATATAATATATAAATCTTTAGTCTTACAAATATTTTTAACGTGAATAAAAAAGAGGAATAAAGAAAAGAAAGAAAACGAAAATAAAAAAAAAAAAACAAAAAGAATAGAATGAATGAAAGAATGAAAGGGATAAATGGAAAAGGTCAACGTTCAAACAGGGATAATAAGAGAGGTTCGCTCTTCAGTGGTACAGATGAAAAAGGAACAGAAGGAAAAGGGCGGTTATAGGTAGGTAGTAAGGTTAATAGTGGGACGATCTTCCTGCCTACTGCTGGTACTTCCATTCCATTTTGTATTCCTGACAATAATGCGGTACTTCATTTTATTCCATTTTCATCAACTGATAACAATAAGTTCAGCTCCTATATTCAAATTATTTCCTCCTTTTTTTTCCCGAACTTTACCGAATTGCAAGCATATAAATATGTCACATTTATTTGCATCTTGCTAAATTTACAATACAATGAGATTGGATAAGAAATACAATATTTTTCTTTTGTTAAAGCATATAATATTTTTTCTTTACTTCTCTTGTTTCGTCAAATTTATGCATTCGACAAATTATGACAAGTATTAAATATATTAATTTAAATGGAAAATGGTGAAATAGTTCATGGAGAATTTCAAATGTGAATAAATTATATTCGAACAAAATATTATGAGACATTTAATTTTTTTTTTCATTCTTTCGTTTTTATTTGGTATATTTTTGAAATCACCAGAATTATTAAATAATAACTGATCATTTATTACAATAAAATACTATCTTTTACCTCAATAAAATTGTACATTCCTATGAAAACTAAAAATTTTCGCAAAAATGACTATATACTGTATACAATATATTATACGCAATTCCGACTGTTCCTAATTAGGCTGACTTCATGTCGTAATAAAATCTCTACCAAATATGTCAAGTAATACTACCACATTTAAAGTATTAAACATTGTTAAATGATCTTTATATTTTTAAAAAACAAAAATTTTAATCATTTAAAATGAGTCATTTAAAAATTTTTAATTTAAATCCTTAATAAATGACACTTGTTAAAAGATAAGAGTTAACAGTGTTAATAACTTACACTCTTTATTTATTTATTCTTGAAACGAAAAAAAATCCTTTAATTCATGCTGAAATCATGAATTTTCATAAAATATTTCTTCTTCACATAGCCAAAAAAAAAATGGTTAACGAGTACTGGGAAATGAGAATTATGCAA